AAGGCTGGAAACCAGCAACTAGTGCAAAGCGACTGCACAGTCCGCAGCAACCTTAGGCTTGTTCTAGCTGCCAGCTTTCTCCACACATGCTGATGACAGGTTCTTGCATAGAAGATGCGTGTGTCTGACTCAATGTTTTGGTTGCTGAAAGAGAAGGACTGGTGAGCAGCGCCATCCCCATGCGCCTGGCTGACGACGCAAGCGAGTTTCTCGCGCTGACACCTTTAACTTTAGCTTTCTCACAGAGCGTTTTGTCGGGGAGCGAGGGCCCCGAGAGCCTGGTTTGAACACGTGTCGAGGACGGGGAGTTGAGTTTGACTTGCAAGGTTCAGTTGTGACACGCGTGATGACCTGTTTTCCACAAAGAGAAGAAGAACTATGAAGACTGTCGTGTTTTGCTGCAGGATTCCCAGCTTGTTGTCAAGGCGAAAGTGTCAATCAAGAACAAATTTGTTTTGCAGGTCCATGGATTTGCAGTTTGAGCGCGTGTTGATTCCGTTGTGCTGCTGCATGTTGGCTTCTCATGCTGCCTGACCCGAGGACAGCCGCCTCCGACATTGCCCAAGGCTAGCGAAAAGACTTCCTACAAGAGCGCTAGGCTTTCATACCATCCTGGACTTGACGTTGGGATCCTGGCCCCTTGACCAATCTTCCAAGCCAGAGAGACAGTCCTTGCAGCTTATTGTGCTGGGTTGCACCATGCTAGGCAATAAAAGAAAGCATGTGTCGGTTGTGCACAGGTGTTTAACAGCAGCGGTGCTTCGCCACGCACACGCCTCAAAGCCGCAATTGTGTCTTGCGCTTGAAAATCCGGAAGAAGAGCTCAATTCTGGATGAAGTACAAAGCCCTGCTAGCCCTTGCTAGCCACAAGGTGACCGCCAATGGGCGAAGCATGTAGGAGCCTTGGCTGAGGAACAGGGAGAGAGCCTTGATGGCTTAACATGGGGCCACAGGGCTGGCATTTTGAGTCGCACAACATGTCCACAGCCTCTGAAACGAATCCAAGTTGCGTGCGAGAATCCTTCTACAAGGGGCAAAACCGTCCAAGGGTGATCAGCAAGTTGCCAGCGACGTGAAAGATTCATCCTGGCCCGGCTTCCGCCATAAGACGCTCAGTGGCATGTGCGATGTGGAGTCTTATTGACCAGCTTTCCTAGCCCTGAGCAACACCCACACGTGGCATTTGGCAAGGCGTTTAGATGCAGGTTCCGACGAACATTCTGCCAGACCTGGAGTCTGGAGTGCTGAAGTCGGTAGATTTCCTTCAGTAAGCGTCCTTTGCACGGCCCTTGGCCGATCTTTTTCGAAGCTGGCTGTCTGAGTTCTTTGCAAGGCTTTCTCCGGGTCCAAAAGGAACCAGCCTGGCTTGAAGCTCAGGGCCGCTTGCAAGTACAGTCAAGTAGGATGACAACTGGTGCAGTTTAAGCGTGTGTGACTAGAATTGTTTCTGGGACTTGTTAGGGCTGTTGGGGGAAGCAGGGTCTCAATTGCTGCGGCCTCCAAATAAGATCTTACGCAGGAAATCCAACACGGAGGCTGTCTCACTTTGGGCTTTTGGCCCTTTGACCAGCAGCTCCTTGTGTTGGGGCACACCAGGCTAGCCGGTAGCCTGAGCATGTGATGGTTATGCCGAGGTGCTCAAAAGCGGCGGTGCTTCGCCACGCACAGCCCCTAAAAGCCATAAACGTGTTTTGCCTTTGAGAATCCGGAAGAAGAGCTCAAATCTGGATGAAGTACAAAGCCCGCCTTGCTAGCCACAATGGGCGAAGCACTGTAGGCGCATTGGCCTTGGCCGAGGTACATGAAGAGAGAGCCTTGATGACTTGACACGGGGCTATGGGGCTGGCGTTTCCGCACCGAAGCAGGGTCGCGTGTGAGTGGTCTCCTTCTTCAAAGGGCAAATTGTCCAAGGGTGACTAGCAGTCGTGCCAAGAGATGCTTAGTTACTGGCAGCTTTCCCGACCCTGAGCGACTGAGGCGCAGACGCAAAGCATTTAGCAACACCCTTGGGCACACGTGCCGAGGGACATCCTGACTTTAGCTGACACGATTGTTTTGCCATGCCGTTCGCAAGGCACTAGAGCACTAGCCGAGTTTGCAGGTGTATATTGCCGCTCTTCAGTTTTCAGACATGGTTAGTTCTCCCATGATTTCTGCACATTCAACAGGTGCCTGGCCATAAGGCAGCCTGAAAGCAAAGTACGGAATCAGCCACCACGAATGAAACCCCGGCATGAAGCCCCCTGGAACTTGGCGCCAGCTTCTTGTTTGGCCTGAGGTGTTCGAGTTGCGGTGGCCTTTGTTTTCAGCCCTAGCGACATGTTCGTTTCGCTCCACATGCGGCAGAGCATGTCTTGAAGATGTAAATCAGCTTAGCATGTTCTCCTTCTATCGACCATTCCTGGCCTCCCTTGAAAATGGCCTGAAGTTGAGCTTTGAAGGAAAGGATAGGCGAGAGCTGAGCTGGGCAGATTTGAAGTGAGCATCTATGTTTTGCAACTGGCGATGGCCTGAGCAGGTGAAGCCTTGTCGCACAGCCAGAAAAGGTGCAGGTTGGTGATGCGCCAGCATTCGCCAACCACATGCTGAAAGTGGCGCTCAGCTGGTAGACCTCGTGCCGCCAAAGTTCAGATTGGCTACTAGAGACGTGCAAGGTCGAGCACAGATGGGTGCCCGGGCAGCGTGTGCAAGGACAGGTAACAAGATTTGAGAAAGTTGGCCTGTTCCTTCCCATCGCCCAGTGAGTTCTGATGTGTGCGTGTGAGATTCCTTTGATCAACAGATGCACCAACTGCAGCTGTAGCATCCCTGGCGCCTTCCAAGAGGATGGAAGCGCGCAATCAAAAAATTGGATGCCTCATGTCCCGCTCGCCTTGCCATACAAGGTGAAGCCGTTCGATCCCGCTCGGCTTGGTCAAGTCAGAAGATCCTTGGACTGACCTAGCTGGCTAAGACCCCGACAAAAGCCAGCGCTCGTGCTTTGGGAAAGGAATTGAATCAGACCGGTTCGGATGCCAGTGGCAATGTAGCAGAAGTTCCAGGTGTCTTTGTTGACTGCTCCGCGGACGTAGATTCGCAATGTTGCGCTGAGTTTCCCGAACTGAGAGTCTCAGCCATGCCGGGCCTCCCTTGCCGGAAGCTGACGGGTTAATATGCAGCAAGCTCACTTGAAACCGACCCCTTAGAGGCCTGCGCGGCATCGCTGCGAGCGCATCCTTTCCATCTTTCAAGCTGAAAGGGGCACGGTTGGTTGTTCAGTCCGGGCATGCTCAGAGATGAGGCATCATGTAAGGGGAAAGAAAAGCCAGCATGCGTGGAGAATATCTAAGTGTGAGAACTGGCGATTTCTCGGATACAGATGCAACAACTGCGCCTGAACTTCTAGTACCCAGGTGCATTGAAAAATGCCACCCTGACTGGGCGTGCACTTCAATGATGGAAGAAGCCAGCCTCCATGTGGATGCAAATTTCACGCATGCCTTCCGGAGCTCTATGGTGCTAAGCTAGCCGAAGGGTGAGGGCAGGCATGAGCTGTCGACGCAGAAACTTTGACAAAGGGCCACTGCCCTTGACTTTTGTCAATAGCAGTGGAGTCAAGTCGCGGCTGCTTGAAAATGATAAGTCATGAACCGCCGCTGACTTGTCAGTGCGCATGGCAGAGGGTGACAATCACCACCCTATGGTTTGATACTTCACTGGCCCAAGCGGCAAAGGGCTACAAGTTTTGAGCACATGGCGGAAGGGATGTGCACAGAGTCAAGCACAGTCAAACAAGCACCGTGGTTTCTCGAAAATGTGTGTGTGTGTGCGTACTTGCGTGAAGCATGTTATGGTAAGAGTTCCTTGTCAAAATGCCCTTTGAGACCTGGTTCCACTTGCCTGTCACCATGTTGGGTGGCTTGATCCTTTGGGAAGTTCTAGCGCAAAGGGGGAACGCGTACCTACAGCGACGAAACAGCGGGGTGATAACTGGACACAGCCACCTAGAACCGCAAAACATTGTCCATGATCACTGTCCAGTGGGTCCAACAGCGTATGCGGTATCCGGTAGCTTCTATCGCCTAAATCTGCGAAAGCCGGGCGACGCTCAAGCTCATTTCATTTTGCCGCCTGCTAGCCTTCAAGCAGACCATCCGAACTGGGCTGCGTGGATTTGCTTTCTGCCACTGAGGGTTTTGTTGAAGCAACGTGGATGGCAGGCCCTTCTCGCCGTTCACTCTAATGCTGATGTAGCGGCTCGAGACCAGATGTGCCAACCTGACCCAACAAGAATCAGCGGGATAGGCTGACATTGGGGAGAGCGCCTTTGGCGACCTGTGCCTCGACCCAGATGTTCCTCACAGCTTCCAGGCAGGCCTCGCTCCCTTTAAGGCAACCTGGATATAGGTGCTGCATATGCAGGCGCAGCGCCAATGACACCATGTGATAGAATCCGCGCCAGCGCCAATAGGGCCAATGCCCACCAACCGGTTGCCAAGGCCCTGAGGGGAGCGTCCGCACATATTCCATAACATATGCTTTGGATGGCCACCGGTAACTCCAATCATTATTGGCACGACTGTTTTGCACACGGCATCCACTGTCAGCACTCCTGGCCACAGGCATTACCTCATTGGACGGCACAAACTAGAAAAGAGGGGAGTGGAGGCCTTTGGTGGATTGTGACGAGGGCAGGGCGCACTGACCTTGCCTTCGTAAAGCCACTGATGCTTTGCTTTGAGGGCAGCAAGGTGCGCAAAAGGTGCCTTGTTCCAAGAACAAGGGCAAGCGCTTGACTGCAAGAAACGAGCAAAAGGGAGGGAAAGGCCTCTCGACCAAGGAGAAGTGGCAGTGTTTTGGTCTTGGCTAGTGGGTGACGGTTTGCTTGACATGCTACAAGGTTTGGGTTTGTGCCTGGCACCTGCGACAGTAAGTTGCTTATGGCCAGCCGCCTTGTGAGCCAGCACATCCCCGAGGTCAAGAAGGGCATTGGCCTTCTGCGGCACAGGGAAAGGAGCCGATGCTCCAGAGAATCTCAGATGGGTATTTGCTTCAGGTCGACGTTTTCTATGAGGGCCAAACCTTCCCCAAACCGGTACCAACGCCGGCAGGCTTAAACCACAGACAGCGCAGCATTTGCCGGGGCAGCTGCCGGAGTCATACAGGGGGTGGGACCTCGCAGGGCCCCCACGCCACGATTAGCGGCAGATTGCTGCCAGGCGCAGCACAGCAGCAGTGTGCAATGACGAAAGTTGGACAGGTTTTCGTGGAGACACTTGTTGACGTGTCGTGCCTCACCAGCGAAGCTTTCAAGTTGATCTACAAAGCGTTTTGAGGCCTCTCCGTTTCCAAGGAGGCACCCTGCCGGTCAGGACAAGTGGTTTTCGGAGTTTCTCTGTCTCACCTAAGCCCTTTCCAGTCCAGCTGGTCAGCATTTCGCAGTGCAATAGCCAGCGGGGCCACCTGATCAATCTCATTGACCCTTGAGCGCATGGTCTGATTTGTAGGACCTGGAATTTGGCTTTGGCCATAGCAGCGCACCCAGCGTTCACTGCGTGGCAACATATCATTTGCCAGAAAGCTGTTGGTGGCATTATCAGCTGCTTTTTCTCCGGCATGGCAAACCATTCATACACAAGCAAATCCGGAGCTGCGAAGTTACAGTCTCAGATAGCGCCACCTCCGCACATATTGCCATATTGCATGGCCACATGTAGTCCCTGCTTGCTCTTTCACTGACTGTGGCAAGTTGTGTGCCATTTGAGTGAGGCATTTTTGAGTGTTCATGTTATTGGTCCTGTTAATGAAGCCCAGGCTGGAGAGTCAAACAGGTTGGTTGTTCCGAATCGAGCACCTCGCACGCAGGGCACGTTCAATTTTGCAAGAACTCACGCCTAGAGTTCTAGAGTCACTTCTAGAGTTTTAGAGTTCGGACGTGTTGCTGTCAGCCTCCCATGTCACTAGATGGTGGCCATGGGGGGGCCTTGTTTTGGAGAGCGTGCGCAAAGTCCAAGCAACTTCCAGGCCCCAAAACTGCAAGGCTAGCCAGGCTGCCTGAGAAAGCTGTGCCATGCAGCTTGTACCGCCCGAGAGCGGCCCAGTGGCTTGCCATCCAGGAAGGTTCTACCTAAGCTAAAGAGCTAAAGAGCTAAAGAGCTAAAGGCAGGGTCCTTGCACAACCTTGGCTCAATATGATTGACGGCTTGACGGCGTGGTGCTATTCGGGGGCCCTTTGAGCACAAAGCGGCAGTGTGCCGCGCGGGGGTTGGCTGAGTGTCGCGCCCCATGCCCGATGCATCGGGCAAACTGCATGAGACATCCCAGGCACGGGTGCCCACTCGCCGCGTGCAGAATCACTGCCTTGCGGAAATGCTGGGGCCGGCCTGGGCAAGCCCGCAGACTAGCCCTGGCCCCGCACTTGACAGCCCATTCGACAGCCGTGAGAGCAAGAAGCGGCTGACTGGTGTTCGGTGCTCATTGATTCCCACCTGAGGGTTCAACGCCCGTCAAGGGTAGAACTTTGCGCAATCCATGCGCACAGTTTGGAAGTGCGCACAGCTGGGCTATCACATGGTATCACTAATTGCCCAGGTTTGCCGTTTCCAGCAACCAGCCTTTGGTCACCTATTTGGGGCGGGGTGAGTGCAGGGTCTGGTTGTGCGCCACTGCAACGAGCAACGCTGGTGACATTGCTTGCATCTAGCAAACGCTGCCTCATAAGGTTCATGACTAGGATACAGATGTTGAAGCAGTGTGCGAAGAGGCTTGCAAGTGACAGTGGCAAAGGCAGCATCGCTGCATCGTCGCAACTGCGAAGCAGTGTAAAGAGCAGCACATCCATTGTCAGGCGTGACAATCACATTGTGACTGGATGAAGGTCAGGTCCTTCTGCCGAAAAATAAAGATATCCCGGCACTCCGCGTGCAAGATATGAGATCAGCAAGCAACATGCATCCCTTTGTGCCATGTTGTCCTTTGGGTCACGAAAAGGTACCCTCCCCGCCAAGTTGCGAATTCTGCCTCAAACAAGCGCATGTCAGGCCAAGTGAGCTGCCGGGCCGACTGAGGAGAAGCCGACTTCAAATATGCCACGCACGTGTCGCGCGCAGGCAGCTTTTCAGAGCTGTCAACGCCAGAAACTTAATCTTCTCAAACCTGGATGTACACCTAAGGTTGAGGGGCCTTGAAGTAGGCCAACAAAGCAGCCGTACAGTGAAACGCGCAATTCCCACGCTCGCAGGATAGCCTTGCAGCGTCTCGGTGGGCATGCCCAATTGAACGCAGCGCCAACCTGCACATGTTGTGGAAAGGCACAACGAGTGCGAGGTAGATGCAAGCTTAGGCCAAAAGTTCGCCCACTTGGACAGAGTATTCCCAGCCATGCCAAGCCTGCCCGGCAACGCTTCTACCGCATCCCGCGGATGCGGGTGTGGCCTGAACCGTGGCTCGCAAAGAGCATATGAGAGCAAGCGCCATGCAGACTGGGAACAGCAAGAGATGTTTGTTACTTGCGCGGACGC